CATTTATATTCACAAGAATGAACTCATTTTTTTACACATTTACAAGAATAACACTGGAGTAAACTATATTCCTAATGGGTAATGGGTTTGAATTTCAATAAAGCGTGTCTTAACATGAAACTAAACTATGTCATGTATGAGAAAGCAAAACTGCTGTAAGAAACAAAGTGATTAATTGGCTTATTTTGCGGGAATGCCGCACCCGCTAATTAGTCATAATTGAAATGTTATTGGTGCCATATTCGCAAAGATATATTGAATTTGTCAAATTCTGTCTACGTTCTCTATAATATCTACGCATTATTCGATGGCTTACGTGGTTGAGTTGCTTGCATACCGCTTTTCATGATGTCGCCATCTCTGAGGTCCTGGGTTTGATCACTGGTCGGTCAGTGTAGAAAACTAACTTTTCTATATTGTCTTAGGTTCGGGTCTTTGTGGCATCGTCGTTGTTTATAATTTCCATAACATCCAGTTCATCCAGTGAAGTGGCGGTACTTCCTTTTTACTTCTTTAGCTGTTTCTACCGCCTAGCAGTAATGAGAGCATTACTGAGTTCTGGTTTTGAAATGTATAAAGGCGCTGGTGAAATTATAGACACATGAGATTGTCGACTTATGTCTCAAGGTGACGGGCGCAGTGGCATTGCAAGTGTTATCAGGCTCACGACATGTTCTTCCTGTCATTTGGTATCATAAAAAAATCTTGGAAAATCTTGTGTAATCGTACCCGCTTCAGAAGAGACCCGTGCCAAGTAGTGGGATGTATAACGAGTTGACGACAATAATGACCTCTGTAAAATTAATTTAAGACAAACTTTTTTGAAAATTTTTAGATTTTTTAAAAATTTGTTACATTTTATTGATAAGGATGGAACACAAAAAAATTCTAAGTAGTTTTATTGAAATCGGTTACCGGAAAGTGCGAGAAACCGGATCCATCCTCGGGTTTGCCACAAACTACTGAAGTATCGTCACTCAAATAAAAAAGAATCATCAAAATTGGTTCTAAAGTTTCACACGGAGTTATCGCGTAACGTACGTACAAAAAAAACAAACAGTCGCAGGGAATATTCTGTGTTCGATCTTCGTATTATAACTTATAATTATGACAAACTAGTCGAGTTGTTTCACAAAAATATCTATATAAATAATACGGTGATAAAACAACATGATGTTCAATAAAATCAGTAATAAATCTCGTATATTCATCATCATCTACCGTTTAAGCAAAGGGTTTAGGCCACGCTGTACTTGGGGACTTCACATGTTTTCCGAGGGTTGTAAGCCTTCTTCGACATGCTGATTTCATTACCATGTTTTCTTTCTCGTGATAAATTTCAAATTAAACTTCGCACATAAATTCCGAGGATGAGGTGCGAACCTGGATTCGAACCTAGGTCATCTGCTTGAGAGGCGGTAAGTCTAACCATTAGGCTATCGGCATATATTCATTCTCTATTCTAGTTATACGGGTATGGCAACACTGTAAATAGAGTTTAGTATAATCTGTGGAGATTGAAAAACGGTAGTAATATAATTAGGTTAAGCCCCGCCGTTTGTTTCTCATGTGCCCACTATAAAATAGAAAAAGAAATTTATTTGTTTAAAAAATAACAAATTTCAATGAAAATTTTTTTTCAAAAATGAAATTTTTTGAAAAAACAAATATATGCGATTTAAATCCGGAAAAATAGTTTCGTTTCCTATGTGTAACAATCGCGAAAACCTAAGAACTCGATATCTTTTGTTTTATTTACAAAAAATTTTTATGTAATTAGAGTTAACAAAGAACTTGATTAAAATATGTTTTGGCTGCCCACACACCTGCAATGGAAACCTGCTTTTGAAACAGTCTCGAAAAATCTCGTTTTTCACGGGAAAACAGAAATGCCGCGAAACTGAACGCTCGCATAAGATCATTCACCAAGAAAAGAAACTATAACACCAATACTACTGGGACTTGAACCGTCTGACGAAATATTAGGGCGCCGGCTGAAAGACCTTTTCTTGAAAAATCCTATATACCCCGCAAAAGAATTTATGGACTTTAAATTGTAACGAATTCAGTATTTTCTATTTTTATTCTAATTTTTACCGCATTAACATACTCTTGTATAATTGTTATCAACTAATGACGATCCTTGACGGAGAATGATATTTGATATATAATTTAATGGCAACAATATTATATAATGAATTGTTAATTTTCTAATTATTGTGTGCTTTTCTTATAATTTTCCTTTTTGTCTGACGATCTCAATATAATTTCTTATACTTTGACATGTAGTGCAATTTATACTGTAATGTTATATTTGAGAAATAAATTAATCTGAATCTGAATCTGAGTATGTGCTACGCTGGCCTAACACACGATGGCAGGCTTACAATTATATGACTCGCGACAATTTTTGTTATGTTGAAGCCTCAAAACCAATTTAATTTAATAGCGATAGAGCTGTTTGTGCAAGAGTTCTTCCTGCGAAGTACTGCCACCTTACACAATTGACCATAAAGTTTATTATGCTATGTACAACGTCGTTTATTATTAAGCCTGTTGTGTTCCGGTTTTGAAGAGCGTGTTGATGAAATTACAGACACGTCGGACTTGTCAACTTACGTCTCAGGGTGACGGGCGCCGTGAGTTTTGCGATTTAAAGCTCTGAGTGGCGCTACAACGACTACGACAGGCGTGTCGCTTACCACCAGGACCACGACTTGTTCGTCCCGTCACTTGATATCGTAAATAAAAAAATTGGAGATTTTAAATTTGTATTTTCAGCTCTTGAAGTTATGAGATGATTTCTGTGAACAAAATACTTGAAATCCTCTCATGTCTTAAAGTGATAATTTAAGAAACCTAGTGTCAATATCAATTTGGAGTAGAAGCGAGATTAAACTTCAAAGTCACAGTCAAAATCAAATAATCATTTATCCCATAGGTAAAGTTTTTACACTTAAAAACCATTGACTTATAATTATATGGACGTCGGGTCCGCGCTAAAAAGTGTCCGATCTTATAGGGCGTTAAAATCGTATACAGAGCGTCATTCACGCTTTAGTCTTCGTTTGTTCGACTGACAGCGAAGCAAGCAAAATTGTCTAATTTTAGTAATGCGATGACATTACAATTTAAATTCAACGTTTTAGCTTTTTCATATTCCTTTACATGTCACTACGTTTAAATAGGTTGACTAGGGACATTTTTTCCTGGTTTGTGTATTAGACCCGTCGTCCATTTATTTGTAAGTCAATGCTTAAAAATGTATTTTTTTAACTACTTGTTAAGCTAATACTCGTTCACTACGCTGATCTTCCTGAGAAGGACGAGCAAGAAACTCTAGGGATTGCGCTTTTCAAATAAACTTAAATACACTTTGAATTTGAATTGTGTGGAATCTAGACGCTTGTTGTCTTTCCATATGTCTTTATCTAAAACATACTCTTCAATTTTGTAATATGACTTTTCAATTAGAATACTTTTAATGTAAGTTTTAAACTTAGGAAATGATAATCTTAATATATTCTCCGGAATTTTATTGTAAAAACGCATACAGTTCCCCATAAAAGAATCGTTTGCCTTAGTTAAAAGAAATCGTGGTACCATGAGTTTGGACTTAGTTCTAATATTATGGATATCTTCTTACTTAATTAAATTATGTATATTTTTACGGGCATACAAAATATTTTAGTGAATGTGCTGTTACTGTACACTAAAATTAAAGTCTGATTAATTGTAAACCTGTTCGTTAATACGTCGATTCACATTTTCACTGAGTTGTTTTGGACGTAGAGAATAGAGAATATGTATCTATAATTTAATGTTAGGTTAATGTGCGTCATTCTGTCTACTACATTTTCTAAATGGAAGTGTTAAAAGGGCCATATAGATGAACAAAACATTAATTTGTCTTCGTTTACACAAGTAAATTTGTCTACATTGTCAAGCGAAATTTATATGTGCACAAACCAATTCTAATTTTTGAGAATCCAAATTGCTTTTTACAAATGAAATTAGGATTCCTAGAAACGAACTCAAGGAAATGAGACAAAAACATCTCCAGCATTTGTTATCTCCGTTCCTCCTTCCTGCAAGGACAAAGGTTCTTGGCAAAGTTCTTCAGAGCCACATAAATAACACACAAATAGATTGATTTATTGCGTGACGCAATCTTCGTCGTCCTTTGGGGAAATGTCTTAAGGGCTTATAGTTTTTTGTTGAAAAGTTATTGAAGACGACGGCTTAGGGAAGGTCCGAAGCAAAGTGTTCATTGACGAGATTCTAAAAACGACGAGTGAAATTCGGAACTATACCGTCTAGATCTATGTCCTGTCTGGGAACTGGGCGCGACGATATGAAAGGAAAGTTCCGGGCTAAGAGCAATAGGAGAGAATGTCAAACGGTACAATTATCGATTGTAACCTCCTGAACAGCTGAGGCGCCGGCTAGGTTATTCAGGATTGTTTAGACGCAATGCAGATCACGTGTGGTTGTGCGCTGGGCTTCCTCGCGCCTGTGCCCGCCCAGATGTTACCTCCTTTTCTTATATGGAATTGTCGCTAATAAGAGGGAAAGGGGCAGACGATAGGGGGTTGAGAGAGCGCGTTTCGTTCTGCGCAGCACTAGCGGTCGATGTTCCAAAGTAGTGCGCGCGCAAACGAGTGCCTCGCCGGCCGGTGGTGTGTCATTCCGTGCGCGGTTCTCTTCCGGAGCGGTCGTTCGGAACGGTCTCCTAGGCGCTCCGTCGGCAGTCGCGCCGGCGCCGCCGTCGGCGATGGATCACGACGATGAGCGTTCGCTCTCTCTGGGCACGGAGCTGTCGGCCTCCGTCCCGCCCCCGAGTCCTCTCACTGGATGTTACCTTCTCGCCGTCATCGGCGAGCCCCATACGCATGAACATAAGGAGATTATACTGCAGCGACTTGTCAAAGGTCAGTTCCTAACAGCTTATCCGTTTACGGACCACCTGAAATCTGGACCATGTAAAGTTTCAAAGTTTTGTTGTCGTTTTTGTCAACTTCCAAATTATGTTAAAGTGACAGATGTCAAAGTTTTCTTGAATTCGCCGGTTACGCCTTTGTTGTCGATTATAATGTTATTTTTACTATCGCCACTAAACACACTTTCTCCTTCGGTTTTGCTGAAATAAAAATGTGGGAAAGTTTGCTAATTGTCTATTTTATCGGTTGAGTAACTATTTAGTATCTGACAAATGTGGCCAAGCAACTTGCAAAGTGGTTACACTTGCATCTTTTTTAGTTATTCAACTTCGGAAATACACGACTAAAAAGTTTTTCGTAAAGATTATTTATTGTTTCTTGGATTGTCTTTTACGGTGTTACGTCATGAGTGACGTCATGTGGCTCTACTTTTTGAGCTGCGACGGTTTTTCGCCGCAGTGAAATGAGGCTTATTAGTTACGTAATGTCGACTATTTAGCAGCCGATCGCGATGGGCGCCGGCCGGTGTGGTATAGCCTTGATGCCATTGGTCACGGTGCCGACGGCAGCTGCACGACATCCGAACTAGACCGATCAAGACATTGCACCGAATTGTACAAAAACTTAAATCGATTCTTATTATTAGAACGCGATAAATTGCGTAAAAGTTTTTTGTTTATTCCAAATCAACTCTACGTGCACACAGGTACGACTAACGTAGCATCTAACAATGAACAATCTTAGAACCTCTATATGTACTTTTTATTAGTATCTATTTATGAGAATTGACACCGGAATTTAAATTTACTTCATCATCATCATTAACATACTATACGTCCCACTGCTGGGAACGGGTCTCCTCTACGTAGAGGGTTTAGGAAACTTTTCGTATTTCATACGTTTCCAGGATGTTAGTGAGTGATGTTTCTACTAAGTATTGAGACGGACATAAGGAATTAAAATCAGAGTGCAAAATGCCGCTGGGATTCGAACCGTCGGCCTTAATTGTGAAGCCACCGTTCTTCCAGTGACCTAATACTACAAAATATTAAATACTCATCATTGCTAATTTTCAGACTTCTCTAGTGTTGGTTCATAGAAAAATTTCCATTTAAAAAAATATCATATTTTTCAGAAAAATATTTTTTTTCCGCATAGTTTTCCCATATTAGTCGTTTAATTTTCCACATTTGACGTTGACGAAAACGACGGAGCTATTTAAAAGTTTTTTTTCTCTATTGTGAAATAATTTTAAATGTCGTTTTTCTCTACGTGGTTTATAGCTATACAAGTTTATTTTATAATTCACGCTAAATAAAACTTCAACAGATATTTCTAAATGTAGAACATATTATGAGCCTTTGAAATTATATAATTTTTTCAACTTTTTCGGGAATTTTTCTGGAAAAATTTACAGTATTTGAAAATTTTCGGAATATTTCCCAACAGATATAATGCACCAAGTGTAAAGTGGATTGTGAATATTGTGGATTTTGTTCCTAAATGAAAATTTTTCTATGATCACGTTCACTAATAAAACTATTTCATTGGGGCACATAAGTACAATTTATAATTAATACTATAGTTAATTTTGAAGCCTAAATAAATTTAAGGCTTTCTTCCCTCGGCTAATCCGGGCGGCACGAGTCTCCTTGAACTTTTTAATGGTTCCGCCTGAAGGCGATATTCGTTTTTTTTACAACAATTCGTTGAATTGACAAAAATAAAAGGACGTGGCGAATGTGCTTAATGACATATTCGAGACATAATGCATTTCAATCAAATGAATTGTTAATTATGAAGACCGGTTTTTGAAGATAAGGGAACTGGTGAAATTACAGGCACATGGGACTAGTTAACTTATGTCTCAGGGTGACAGGCGCAAGGGCAATGTCCCTCAGAACTTTGCGATTTGAAGCTCTGAGTAGCACTGCAAATGCTATTGACAGGCGCGTCGCTTTTCATCAGGCGCAAGAGTTCGTCTCGTCGGTGATTTTATAATAACAAGTTATAATAAAAAATACCTCAGCAGCGGTTCCTAACATGCGCGATAGAAGAAGTCCCGGGTTCGATATCCGTTTGGATTTTTTTAAATTGGCCCCGCACAGTGTTTCTGGGAACTGAAGAGACCCCTCGGCGTCGGGAACGAAGCTTATCTTACGGCTCCGCCTCTGGAGAGGAGATTTGGTAATCGACTTTAGTGCCAACGGCTTAGCGGTGGCAATTGTCAGTTGTACAATGCGCAGTGGGAAGTGAGCGTGTCTACAGCTTCAGATGAACCGGATGAACTCTGTGAAAACGGGCTGGTCTTAGGTTAGGACCTGACTGAGAAGGTCCCTATGCTTGCACAAGCTACAGTGCCCTTCTAGTATACCTAAGGGTCGGTAGAGAGGGTCACTATAGTCAAAATTAATGTAGACAGATATGGGGCTGGTCCAGTACAGAATGTTATGGGTAAGTGCCCCGACATTAATTTCGTAGGTCTAGTACTCACAAAAGATTTAGATCATGGTTTGTTACGTCAGCTCTATGAGGGATGGGACTTCATGTTCTCCTCACCACGAAAGTCTATTTCCATCATTGGTGAGAGATAATGCAATTAGCATTCACCAATGTGCATAAGTTGGAAAATAAAATCAAAGGTTCATGCTGCCACATTCGAATTGTTGACTTGAAGTTGAGGGTCACCGTTCTCCCTCCGGGTTACTAATGAACTAATAAATAAAAGGTGAACACGAAAGGTTAAAGGTTTCAGTTTTCACCTAAATCGCTTTCTGCACCAATTAATTTTTCCAGCAATCCAACCTGGGGGTCAATTCTGCACCTTACGACAACTCAGTTGTCGACCGATTAGATTTGATATTGTTTGATTTCTTTTCATTTTTATTCACAACATCCGAACGAACGTCAATCTGTCGTATTCGCAACCGAACCGAAACGACGTCACACCCGTACGATTACTTGAACATCTCGACCGGCAAAGGCTACAAACGTTATTCGGAACACAGTTATCGTCTTATTGTTTAACACAGTAAGAATTAATATGGAAATCTCTTATTATTTTAATGAAAGAATGGATTTTGTTAATATTATTAATTTATTTTAATGCAAGACTAATGCACTTCTATATTTCAGGCCTTTAAAGTCTTAAAAATGTATATAAAAAGAATTTTAATTTCTCTTATAATCTATTTCGCTGAATAACTCCGTAAACGCTGTTGGATGATACCGTATCCGAATCCGAATGGAACGCTTAACTCTGGATGTTCTGAATAGCTCGGAAATCGCCCATCGATTCGAGAACTGTACCCAATCGTATGATTCGATTTAAATATCGAAGATCGGGTTCCTGATCGACTTTTGAACGGACCTAAGATATCTTGTCTATGCATTTTAACAAATTCTAAACAGTTCTTGAACGTACTATATAATATTAATTGTTTCTAAATTCTCTTTATTATAATTTTACTGAAATTAATGCACATTTGCTCCCAAACAATGGATCGAAAGAATGACAATATTGGAATAACTTTATAGTAAAACCATTTTGCCTTCATTGTATTTAGTTGTATAATAGTACTATATAAGAATATGGTATGAGATGTTTACGGTTTTTGCTTACTCGTATACTGTAACTTAATATACAAGGGTGTTTCAGGGCTATGCGGCACGGAGGGAATGTAATTTAAATATGAGAGTGAAGTCCCATGCACCTGCAAAATTCACCAGCACCCTTATTATTCAAATGTGGAACGTAGTAATGCTAACATTACTGTTTGGCGGCAGAAATAGGTAAAGGAGGTCTTCCTCAGTTAAAACTTTACACGTATGTAGTTACTGAAAAATGTTAATTTCCCAAATGACGGCTACACAATGCTCACATAAATTTAAAACAAAGTGGTTATGTTACTTTTCATTTAAGTAATAAAAATCTTGAAAATGTCATGCTACGACATTGAATAGACATTGTAACCACATACAACCTCTTTCGTCTTATTATTACACTAATGTTAAAAGCAGATATTTTTTCATTTAATTTCCTTAAGCATTATTTTCTCATTTATTTATTAATACAAAAATCGAATACTTAGAAAAAGATGCTTCGACCCTTTCATAGATTTCTCACAGAAGGCGCTAGAAAATCGTTAAAAGACAGATACAAAAACCCGACAACGAGCACATAGCAAAATTTGTGAAGTCCGCTAGTTCGTTCCGTGGATTAGATGGTATAGCGTCTGCCACGGTTTGCTAGAAGACGTCGTTCCGAATCCGACCGCCCTGCCCGTTCATTTCTGGTAGGTGTATATTGGATTTTTTAGGACATTACAATCTGATCAAGATATGTACATTGATGTTTATCTCTCCATACGTTGTCACCCACAATAATGAAAATTTGTAACATCCATCCTTTTTAAATGACCATGGAAGCATTCCCTTCTCTATCCGGGTCATAATTTTTCAAACCATACGCATTCTTCGTAATCAAATTCTGTCTTTAAAAGTGACACCGTCTAATTCCTTTACTATGACCTACATACTATAGAAAAAACCCTTTTCGAGAGGAGGCATATATCGACTCATCCGAAGAACAGAGTCCGATGTGATTATACAGCGAAAAGAGAATAAGTACGTTACGAGAATAATTTCCTTATTCAAACTAAGGCCTACGTAAAGGTGTTTTGAGAATTTATATATCTTATTTCATTTCGGAAATATAAAATCGAACAACGGTCGACCTGACATCCACAGCGAAGAAGATCGAACGAAATGTACTATGTTCTGAGAACAAGTAGTCTTCCACATAGGTCTTTGTCTACGGATGAGTCGATATGTAATGGCAAATATACATACTCCGAGCTCTGTCATTAAGGGCTATCCCGTCGAGAAGCCAATGACATCCTACTGAGATGGAAGGCAATACGAACAAGTATAAACACTCACTATATTGAAATGTTTGTAGATGTGTTGTTGTTTTTTAATGTATCTATTTATTTAGTATATTGCACAAAAAAACACTACTTATTAAAATTAATAATAAATTTAAAAACGAAGTGCCTCTACACACATCATACAACAAACATAGATATACAAAATTATGACGAAACAAAGGGAATTTCTTGTATCCTTGTAAAATTATATGTGGAATTGACATCATTTATTTAAAATACAAAGTCAAAGTCAAAGATTATTTATTCCATAGGTAAAATGAATTTACACTTGAAAACGTCACATTTAAACTCTAGGGATTGCTCTCTTCAAATAAACTTAAATGCTATGGAATACACTTTGAATCAAATTTGTGTGGATTCTGGAGCCGTGTTGTCTTTCCATACATCTTTACCTAACGCGTAATCTTGAATTTTGTAATATGACTTTTCGATCTAAATACTTTTAATGTAGTTTTTAAACTTAGGAAATGATAAACTTAACATATGCTCGGGAATCTTATTGTAAAAACGTATACACTTTCCCATAAAAGAGTCGTTTACCTTGGTTAAACGAAATCGTGGTACCATGAGTTTGGACTTAGCTCTATAGCAAAATATAATCATTATCACCAGTAACAGTAGAGGTCCTTGTGAAAGAGTTCGTCCAGGATAGCTTTGCGATCATACCTAATTCTGCCACGAAGTCGTAATGCTCAACGCTTTTGAAAGGTAAGGGTACTGTTGAAATTACAGGTACTTGTTAGTTTATATCTCAGGTTGACGAGCATTACAACTGCTTGGGACAGGCGTGTCGCTTGACACCAGGCGCACGACTTATTCGTCTGTGGCATAACAAAAAATGCATTTTTACTTTCCGTAAACTACAATGATGGTAAGCGTCACGCCTGTCCGTAATAGTTGCAGTACGAGTCCCATGCTTGTAAGTTCACCAGCACCCTTACCCTTCCAAACCGGAACGCAGGACCAATTCTATAATTCTATTAAATAATTAAAGGTTTCAAGCTAGAGCGAATAACTATTATTTAGACAAACGTGTACCATCGATTGTGCCCAAACTTTCATAAATTTTAGGAAAAGAACCGGCTGGCAACGGAAAAGATGTATAATAATGAAGACGTTTAAAAAACCTTTAAACATGTGTACAATGAGGCTAGTTTACAATTTTCGACTTTAACCCCTCCAAGTGTATTATTACCGAAGCCGTACACGCAAGGCCGGGGCTGGCAGCGTAGCCGACATAGCCGCGGGGCCGGGGGATTATTCAGCACGTAATATAATCCTCGCCAAATTTCAACGTAAACCTCTCAGCTGAGTATCATGACGGAATAACTGATAATCCCAACCTATCTAACCCTGATTTGAGATGGATGGGATTTAAACGGAAAACGCAATCTCCATTTCCGCAGCGGCATTTTAACATGTTTACTTAATTTCAACATTTTTTAAAAATAATATCAGGTGACGTAACTAACAAGTTGTTTAATAATGCCGTGGGTCATGTAAGTTAGATTAAAGAAAATAGCTGTTTATAAAAAAAAAACGGCATCAAAATTTCGAGGAATTACATCTATTTGCCAAGTTTTACTGAAATCGGTTACTGGAAAGTGCGCGAAACCGGTTTCATCCCCTAGTTTGCCACCCTTACAGGTGGAATATTTTCTTTAAATTTTGGACAGAACTTGTGAATCCAAGAATTAATTCAGAAGAACACATTATTGTTGACTAGAAGACAACGGTATATTTGGAATGTTGTTATTTAGTTGTAATAATATTTAGTTTCATCGCGAAAAAGTATCTAGAATATTCCTGGTAACTATCGACCCAATAGTTACCTCAGACATAAAAATAGATTAGCACTACCTAGCTCGAAATTACAAATGCATCTGGGTCCTTGTGTAATTGACTGTTAAAATTTAAAACCGAATTTTAAGGATAGACATCCCAGACCCAATATTATTTATTCACCAATCTGCTAAAGGCTTATTTGATAGGAAAATGTTACAACATCTTCAAGCAGTTTTTTGACGAATGACTACCAGACACGTTTTTGTACCATTCTGCATGAAAGTATCATGTTACGTTATTATTACCATCATTATTGTTTAATTTATTAGCTTTTGTTTAAAATTACTTTACTGTTATGTTCGTTTAATTAAAAATTTTCGATTTCTGAATTTTAATTAATGTATATTTTTAACTCCGGTGTCCTAACCGGCTCATGTAGATAGTATTTCAATTTTAAGAGCATTATGTAACAGATGGAAGCAATAAATACTTTAACTTTGATTTTAAATCAAGTGTGATGTAAGGTTATGTCATGCTTTTGTTTTATTTATTTATTTTTAGAACATTCAACAAGATATGAATTAAATGTAACAACGTTGAAACAGTGACAGAGAGTCTTATACCGAATTCGGCCTCAATTAAAGGTTGTTAGGGCATGCAAATGTAGACACAACAGAAAAGAAAGGTCTTTTGAGGCCTCCGTTTTTCCTTCTAAGGTTCGGAACTCTAAAAATTAGTTAACTTTATTCAGTTAAAGAGTAACTATGAGATATAATTATAGCATTTGACTACAATTTAGTTTAAGTGGAGCGGACTGAATTGCGACAGTAATCAACGGTCGTTGTTTTTAACACTGCTATATTGTTTTGTCTAGTTCATGGTTTCCCAAAGCGGACCGCCCCGCAGTGGGCGCTGATGAATCCTAGAGGGGCGGTAGCGGCCTCGGAAGTAATTGGGAGGCGTTGATGCTGTCCAGGGGTATCTATATAAACTACACTACATTTTTTTTTCCTTGTGATTTTTTGTATTTTGTAGGTTCATAATTCGACGGTTATTTTGTGTGTAAGTTTTTTTATGTTACGTAATTACTCCGGCCGTGATTATTCGTGAATCGATTTTGATGATTCTTTCTTTGTTGGGAAGAGAGTAACCTCAGTATTGGTTCAATTGGAAGGAAATATTCCGCCTCTAAGGCAAACTAGGAGATGAATCCGGTTTTGCGCACTTTCCGGTAACCGATTTCAATAAAACTTGGAGTAGAGCTATTTGTGAGAGTTCATCCAGGGTAGTACTGCCGCCTTACTTATTTCTGCCGCCAAGCAGTAATGTCAGCATAACTACGTTCCAGTTTTTAAGAGTAAGGGAAATTACAAGCACATGGGACTTGTCAACTTATGTCTCAGGGTGACGGGCGCAGTGGTAGTGCCCATCAGATCTTTGCGATTTAAAGTTCTGAGTGGCACTGTAACTGTTATGGGCAGGCGTGTCGCTTACCACCAGGCGCATGAGTTGCTCGTCTCGTCACTTAATATTATTAAAAAAAACTTTTGGAGGTCCGTTTTTTTTTCGCTAATGTAGACATCCGTATTCAACAGAAGGTACAACTTATACCATGGGTTGATGATTATGACGACAAAGGTAAATAAATAGGCTTTATCCAGAGGATTAAAACTCAGACTGAAAAATTCCAACGATTTGAAAATGTTTGAACAAAATATGAATATATTGCACTCTTCTTGCTCATCAGGTTGATGCTTACAATCTTATCACAGTTAATGGTTTTTACATCAAGGTCGCGGCGAAAAATGTAGCGGTGCACAAAATGATGTCATCCAGATGTAATAATGTACTGTCTGTAACAATGTTTACAAAGAAAGATAGATAGCTGTGAGATAGATTTACATCTAAATATATTTGAAATATATCAAATGCACATATTAACTAAGAACTTCAGTGGCCCAGTGGCTTGCACACCGGTTTTCATGGTGTCACCATCTCTGAGGTCCCGGGTTTGATTCCCGGTCGAATCAACGTAGAAAAGTAATTTTTCTATTTTGTTAAATATTATTTATTGCACATTTAAAAATTATACATAAAATAATACAAGTATTGTAATATAAGTACAAGTACTACATGCGACCTTATTACTAAAAGTAGTTTCTTCCGAGTAATCTTAATATAGAAGAGTTGGAAAGGGAGTAGAACCAAAGAAAGTTTTTTTTTATGGTATCAAGTAACGGGAGGTACAAGACACGCCTGTCCCTAGCATTTGCAGTGCCGGTCCCTTTGAAACATAAGTTGACAAGTCCCATGTACCTGCAATTTCACCACCTTATTACCCTTCAAAAACGGAACGCCATAATGCTCACTCACATTACTGCTTGGCGGCAGAAATATATAAGGTGGCAGTACTTCCCTGGACGAACTCTTTCTTATACTTACGGAACAATCGCCTGGGCACACTTAAGGATTACACCCTGTATATCTACATAACTTTGTAATAAGTGAGACGTTCTTATGCAAAAATGTGAACATAAAAAGTTCCCCACTTGATTCTAAATATAAATCACACGGTTGACTTCACAATTCTCGGGTTTTGCATCGCAGAGCGACAGGCGCGCCGGCGCCGGCGTGTGCGCAGATAGGAAAGTACCGCGTATGGCGCGTAATTACTGACCAATGTGCTGGCTCCCGGTTACAAATAGCACTAACATCCTTTCTCGGGTGTCGTAAAAGGTGACTAAGGTCTAAGTCCAAGTTGACCAGAGTCTTTAAAAGAGGATGTAGTGAGAAAAATAGAGAAAGCTATGCTCACATGATTGCTTCGCGGTAGTTTTACACTGATCAAAAGTAGTTAGGAAAAAGGCATTTTTAAAAATTATTTCTTTACTCTTCTTCTTTTTAAAGTGCCTCTTCAATCCTGAAGGTTGCTTGGTCAGCTTCCTGTATTTGTCTCTATCAGCAGCCAGCCGGAACAGCTGTTCGACAGAGGCTAGTCGTCCCCTTCCCTGCACTTTGTCCATCATTATCAGCTGCAGCAGCATGTCTCTATTGTACCTGATCAAGTGACCAAGGTCAAGGATCCTTCTAAAGATCAAGGACCTTTTGTTAGATGGCATCATTTTTTGAGACATATTAACGCGCTGAATCACGGTTTCGTTCGTTGTTTACCCCACTAAAATAAAATAAAATTATATGAAACTTGAATTTAAATCGCGTATATTTGTTTTTTCAAACAACCAACGTTTCGTGCCCTTTACAGGTCCCATGGTCACGGTTGACAATCGCGAAAACCTAAGAACACGATATGTACACTAGTACGGACCGGGCGTTGTAAGTAAAATCAGTTTGTAGATCTCAAGAATAAACGTGCGCTAGAAAATTGTTAGCCGGTGGCGGCGGTTAGTTCTTTTGGTCGTGTACTTACCATGATTATGACAGCTTAGAGCTGTGGCAGTGCCCCTTAGATCTTGAGTTTTAAAGCTTTAATTGGCACTGCAGCTGTTATGGACAGGCGTGTCGCTTATCACCAGGAGAACGACTTATTCGTCCAGTAACTTGATATTGTTCTATTGTAATCAAAAGTTAAATGGCTTGGCTAAATTATAGGACCTTAATATTGAAAGATTAATTTTGTTGGAAGAACAAGGTCGTCACAGCTTCACCCAGCTACTAGCTTATCATAATCAATTATTTCGCCCTTTAAGTTCCAAGTTATTATTAGTTAAAAAGTCACACGGTCACAATGTTACAAGGTCACGAGGTTACAAGGTCAGAAGGTTACTTTTGAATCCTGAAATGGTGGTATATTTTTTGACATCTACATAAAATCGTTTTTCGCAACATGGTGACTGTCTAGTTTGTCTGACACGAGTATAACGGGTACCCCCAATGCGCTTGAAGTCGAAACTGTCCCGGTTTGTTATATAAGGATGCGCGCGCGCTTCCGCTGAATCATATCGGCCCATCACGTCATAGTTTTAATGTTTAATGTGTTTATTTGGTCAGTCTACGATGAAATCATCCTGTTAAATCAAGAATGTTTTGCCCGTTACAGGAGACGGAGAGTAGTGTTACCATTCCACATCGCCCTGGTTCACAGGTTCATGTTCTGTCATGTCGAAGAATTTTTTCTTGTATAATCTCTGTACAGAGTACTAAAAAAACCGACCTCAAAAGTACGTGGAATTACGTCTATTTGCTAAATTTTATTGAGTAAATTCACCACTATACAGGACTTGACACTGGAGATAATAAAAATCGGTTCTCACTACTCAAAGTATATTGAGAGAAAAAAACGCCTTGAATTAGAGAAATAGCAAAATCAACCATTAAAAGTCCTTAAGTAAAATTTAGGCGCTATTTATAAAAATGAATCTTCATTCGTGAACAGCCACCCTTACAGGTGGATGATTTTCTTTAAAATGAAATGGGACTACTATGGAAGTATCCCTTTCCAACAAAAAAAGAACCATGAAAATCGGTTCACACATACCGGAGTTATCGCGTAACATACGTAAAAAAAAACATAGAGTCGAATTGAGAACCTCCTCCTTTTTTGAAGTCGGTTAATAATAACAACAAATATTCAATAAAATCAATATTAAATGCTATATTTTCATTGTAATGCACACTGGACGTTCTCATGGCCAAAGGAATAGTACCTGTAGTGTCTGGCCCGGTACTCTAGTTCTCCGTCCGAAACAATTGCTGCCAAATAAGTCATTACTCGACCACATTAAAAGGGAATGTCTAGTATGAAGTTAGAAATTTACTTATTTGACAGTCAGAGCGACTGCGCACTACGTCCGATTCGTATCAGTTCCGGATCCAAGAAATGACGTCCGAAACGCCACAGGGATCATTTTATATTTCGGTGTACAGCGAAATTCGTAATTTCTCGGGTTGAAATCGGACTTAGTGCACAAGCGACATCCGAAGGGGGTTCGTGGGTCACTTTTCAAGATTTGTATAGTCTCGGATTTGGAAAGAATACGAATCGGAAGCGGTGCGCAAAAGCGCTAATTGTTTCAGACGGATGTCTGATGGAGAACTTGAGTAGACCCCCTGAGTCGGAATCACTGTGGTTGATGTACTTACACATGTTTTTTAACGTACACACTCAACACAGCCCCTAGGTGACCAACCAAACAGCCAACTAGGGAAACCCTGTCTCGCGGGTATCACGGACACACACTTAGACAAAAATAAATTAGACCCAAACTCACGAGAGAAATAAATGTAGACCATACAAATATTTCTCCCGGCCCGCATGGTATCCGTTCGGCCACGGAGGCAGTTGTATATACTGTGTGATCTTAATACTGGGTAAAGTCTTTTCAGAGGAAAGGGTTTAGATCATCGTCCGCCTTGTTAGACAAGTGACGGGACGCACTTGCAGTACCACTCAGAGTCTTAAACCGCAAAGATCTTAAAGCGCACTGCCACTGCGCCCATCGCCTTGAGACAAAAGTTGACAAGACCCACGTGCCTGAAATTTCACCAGCAACCTTGCCCTTCAAAACTGGAACGCAGTAACGCTCACACTAGTGCTTGTCGGCAGAAATAGATAAGGCGGAAGTGCTTCTCTGGACGAACTCATTCACAAGGAGCTCTATTGCTTTTTGTGGTCGACATTGGCAACAGGGAAGCACCAACCAAAATTTCATCATTAACAAACTAAGCTAGATAGGCGAATTCAATTTCAACTTACAATTATTATTCTAACAGCAGAATAGTCTGAATCCTAATACAATGTAAGGCTTTAGCACTTGTGAGTTATCGCTTTAACACAGCCGGGATGAGCGGCTCAGCTCTGTCAGCGGTCAACAATATGGACTCTCGCTGCATTGAAATAAGTCGCATTTAAATCCAGTGACCATTTAAATTTGAAACCCATCTTTATTGTCAGAAAGGGCTGGGTATACATACATATATTAGAAGTAGAAAATGAAAGGGAAGGAAAAGTCAAAGGACAGCCTGTAACAAAAATAATAAAAGGTACAAACATTAAAAAGCACTCCCAACTAGTACTAAATACCTATATATATATAAAACAATGGCTACAGTAATTTGTCTGAGGACACCGAAATGGCTAGGGTGATTGGGCTGAGGGCACAGAATGGCCGACAAATTTGTCTATACAATGTAACTTATTTTAAACATTAACGGAAACTAGAAGGCTAGTGTTTGTTTCATATATGTTTAAAATGAAATGTATTATGTGATGCTATATGTTTCATATATGCTATATGTTGCTATATTTCAAGTCTCGGAATAATACGTATAAATACACATTTTTATGGCGGAGATGGCTAAGAGGAATAATCTCAGTACAGAGTACTAAAAAAATCGACCTCAAACGTACGTAGAATTACCCACTTTTATCGAAATCGGTTACCGGAAAGTGCGGAAACCCGGATTCATCCCCTAGCTCGCTACTATACGGGACACAGGAGATAATAAAAATCGGTTCTCACTACTCAAAGTATATTGAGAGAGAAAATGCCTAGAATTGGAGAATAGCAAAAAAAATAAAATATTTGCTCCTTATAATAAAATTTAGGTGCTATTTATAAAAATGAATCTTCATGTGTGAACAGCTACCCTTAGAGGTAGATGATTTTCTTCAAAATTAAATGGGACTACTATAGAGGTGGGTACCCCGTTCCAACAAAAAAAAAGAATCATGAAAATCGGTTCACAAATACCGGAGTTATCTCGTAACATACATACAAAAAAAACATACAGTCGAATTGAGAACCTCCTCCTTTTTTTGAAGTCTGTTAAAAAGAGCTAATAAATTACGCTTTATATCCTTCTAATTAACCTATTATCGAAGTAATTTTTTTTGCCAGTTCTGACTGATACAGTTCATCAGAAATAGTTTGCTATGTTTATTCTCGTTTTTCTATTAGGTATATTTTCTAGTTCTTTTTTCAAATAAATACTCTTTTTAACCTTGCCGTCTTTTACTGTCTTACACAGCATCCAACTCCTGAGTTACACTATGAAAATTTGACTGTTGCACAGGGCGGGATCTTTAAATTTAGCACTTTCTCTTAAGGTGGCGTGGGTTTCTTAGTACCAACCAACCAATACCAAAAGTTGTGTGACCAACGGTGGTATGGATCAGCTGTCCGTGCTCCATCAGTGGTACACGTCGATCTGAACGTATTAAACAGTTGAATAGATGTAAATCAAATATAATCAAGAACCATTAAATTAACATTATTCATATTACAAAATTGTAGACTACGTGTTAGATAAAGATGTATGGAAAGACAACACGAGTCTAGATTCCACACAAATATGTATAACATTTAAGAGGGAGCATTCCAAAAAAGTTTTGATGTTGGCTCCGCCCAAATTTGTGACACAAATATATGCCTGAAGTTCGCGTGACATGCGACAGGAGATGTTGAATTTTGCGCATTAAAAGTACCAAATTCGTTTTAGCGGAATAAATCTAAAACTGAAGGGATTAAAAAAAAAATCCGTAGTGACAGTTGTCGATCATGCATAAATATAATTAATTATCTAATTTTTGTCCTAATAACCTGTAGCATTTCGAGGATAAATCGAAAAAATGTGAAAATTAGAGGTCATTTCGTGATTTTTATCTATCGAGGAAACTTTATTGTTTTATGTTTCTGGTTAATGTCTATGCTTGAATATATCGTGTAGTTACTCATACAATATTTTATTTTTAGCTTTAAAGTGGATATACCCCTCTAAAATTAAATCGAAGATTAGGAATTTTTCCTCTGCTCCCTCTTAAGTTTATTTGAAAAGAGCAATCCTTAGAGTTTCTTACTCGTTCTTCTCAGGGAAGTCAGCGTAGTGAACGAGCAGTAGCTTAAAAAAGGACGTTTGCAATAAAAAATTTACCTATGGAATAAATGATTATATAACTTCGACTTTGACTGACCTTCAAATAAATCGCTTTGAGACCGGTCTATCCGTTTGGGAGCTATGATGCCTCAGACAAACAAATACATTGACAAAGGCCTTAACTTGTGGCTCCCATCTTTTAAATCCCCTGATTATATATATGACCCCTATCATCATCATCATCAACCCATATGCACGTCGCACTGCTGGGCCAGGGTCACTTCTCACGTGAGGGTTTTGACCATAGTACGCCACGATGGCCCAATACGGATTTAGGACTTCAGTTTCCAAAGGTTGTCAGTCTTCTTCAACGTGCAGTTTCATCGCCATGTTTTTCGTAACTGAAAAGGTCATGATAAATTTCCCACATGAATTCTGAGAAACTCAAATTCGAACCCACGGCCTTTGCTTGAGAGGCTGTAGGTCAAACGCTACCACGGCTCACAAATAAATAAAATAAAAATACGAGTAAAGTGATAAAATTGCTAAATAAAAATGTATCCGACATGCAAAAGACCCGTTGATATCAGATCCGGCGATCTAAGTCGCACATCTCTCAATGATCGTTGTGATGTAGAGCTCGACGGCAGCTGCGCGCGCGCCGCGGTCTCGCCAATTATTGCGATCGCGCCGCTCGCCCGTGACGTAGTTATTGACTAATTGCTTACTGGACTTGTATTGTTTGAATAACAAAACATCTAATCAATATTTACATAAATAATTTAGATAACCCTTATAAGTATAAACAATCGTGTTAGCTGGGTCTTTTCCTGAATTTATATGTGAACATTGACTTACAATTATATGGACGTCGGGTCCGCGCTAAAAAGTGTCCGAACTTATAGTGCGTTAAACTCGTATACAGAGCGTCATTCACGCTTAAGTCTTCGTTTGTTCGACTGACAGCGAAGCAAGCAAAATTAGACAGTACTGCGATGACATTACAATTTAAATTCAACGTTTTAGCTTTTTCATATTCTTTTACATGTCACTACGTTTAAATAGGTTGACTTGGGACATTTTTTTCGTGGTTTTTGTATTAGACCCGTCGTCCATTTATTTGTAAGTCAATGTATGTTAAGGAAAACATCGTTACAAAACTTGCACACATCTGTAAAGCCATTTAATGATGCGTGTGTGACCTGTACACACTCAACAACTGTTATGTCCATAATACTTGCAGTGCCACTCAGAGCTTTCAATTGCAATATTTCCGAGACACCCTTACCCTTTAAAACCGTAACGCAGTAATGCTCACATTATTGCTTGGCGGCAGAAATAGGGAAATTTCCCTGGAAGAACTCTTTTACAAGTAGCTCTACTGCTGCTAAATGAAATATTTTTTGGATCTAAATTGCGCAAATTTGTTCTTTCAAACAAACCAACGTTTCGGACGTTTTACGGGTCCCACGGTCACTGTCATTTCCAATACGTATATTTACTAAACTTCGGTTAAATAACCGCGCCGTGGTGTCCGGCAAACAATGTTATATAAACCTGGCAGCGGTGATCAATCATGATTCCAATCACTCTCCTACGCTTTTTCTCGTAGGAGATTGAACAATTCTATCTTTTCGTATTCTGTATATATTATTATTGTATTTTGTATATATTTTTATATCGCAGAACAACACGCTGTAATTTTACATTTTATTTGTTTCGTTATAATTATTAATATAAAGGTAGAATACTTAGGAAAAATTCCTTCAATCATGCGGTAGTAGAGCAATTTCGCAAAAAATAATCGAATATCAATTCAAAACAAATTTAATTAGAGATAATAGCGACGTCTCTAGCCAGGTCTAGTAGCTGTAAAGTTATCTAACAGAATGACGAAATAATTTCTTAGATTTCTCATACATGGTGCTATGGCTAAAAAGTCGTTGAAAACCAAAATATAAAAATCTCACATAGAAAAATGAATGAGGTCCGCTGGTTCGTTCTGTGGCTTAGCTGGCATAGCGCCAGCCACACTCGATATGGCCGGTTTTGTATTAATAATTTACAAAAAATACTTACACTAATATGTGAATTTTCATAATCATCGTCTACCTTCAGAAAGATGTCGTAGCAGTAGAACTCCTTGTCAAAGTGTGCATCCAGGGAAGTACTTATATAAGTACCACCTTACATATGTCTGCCGCCAAGTAATATTGTGAACGTTGCTGCGTTCCAGTTTTGAAAGGTTAGGGTATTAGTCAAATTACAGGAACATGGAACTTGTCAACTTATGTCTCACGGTGACAGACGCAGTGGCGGTGTTCCTCAGGTCTTTGTGACTTATAGCTCTGAGTGGTACTGTAACTGCTTGTATGTCGCGTTACTTGATTTCATAAAAAAAGATACTTTATATCTTCAGCTTCTGGCCACGTGTCTCTTAAAGCCCAACGCGGTTTTGGGACTTCACATATTTTCCCAAAGTTTGTGACCCTTCTTCGACTTTTCCTTCACTATTATTGGGAGATATTGTTATTAAATCAAAATCATATGAATAGGTATATGCCGTTACAGGGATTCGAACCGTTTCAATTGCGAAGTAATCAATCTACCACAAGACTGCACTTCCATGTGAATTTTCATGAGTAAATTTTTTATTTTTATTAAGAGAGAAGCTTCATAGATCTCTTACAGGTGTCACTTACGGCGGTAAAAGACGAAAACCCAAATGCAAAAGATCAGGGCACCAATTCTGCTAATTTTAAATCACACACAATTATCGTTGTGTGTCCATAGTCAACGGCAGGATGTTGTCCGTTCAGTATTCTGCTAAAAGTTAAGAGTGGCTTAATAGTGTATTATTCAAATGCCATTGCATTTTTTTGGTATTATGCTCTTCAATAGCGAGTTGATGGCACGTCGATGGCGTAGTCTACTGATTAAGTGACATAAAAAATACATTTGAACTTGAAGAGACAATTGCTGATTGAACTAGATGAATATTAAGATATGCATAGTAATTTCCGTGATTTAAATAGTAAGGCAACATTGAAATGGATGTCATTACTGCCATTCCACTGACTTTTTTTTTTATAAATAATAGACATGGAGTGTTGGAGTGTTGTATTGTATGGCAGTGAGACGTGGACAATGACACAGAGAGACAGAGAACCATTGGAGGCATTTGAAATGTGGTGCTGGAGAAGAATGGAGGACCAACGAGGAGGTGCTAAGAATAGTGAATGAAAGGCGAAGCTTATTAAAGACAATAGAGAACCGAAGGGGAAAATTGTTTAGTCATCTGATGCGTCACGACAGTTTTCTTAGAAACATAATAGAAGGGAAGATCGAAGGAAAGAGAGACAGAGGAAGACCGAGACGAAGTTATTTAGATCAGAGAAAGGAAAAAGTTAATGTCGTGTCGTATCAGGAAATCAAGGCAAAAGCCGTAAATAGAGATGCTTGAAGATTACTCCACCGAGAAGAGCCTATCTCTTAAATGAGAATAGAGACTTACGCGTGGGTACAATCTCACTTTATACAGCCCCATAACCACTCATCATTGTAATTCCATTGAGATTCCACTCAGGTTATACTGCAATTATGATAATATTTGTTACTCCACTGGACACATTCAATTTCTTTAGGTCTTTGGCGACTTCATCCTTCCAGCGATATCTTGGACGGCCCACTGGACGATGAGTCGTAGGTTGCCCTAAATACGCTCCTTTGGCAGCTCGATCCAGTCCCATTTTTCAGCATGTGCTAGCCAGCGAAGTCGAGCAGGTTTTATTTCCCCAATTATGTTCGGCTCAGACACTAGTTCTTCTATCTCTCTATTGAATCTGGCCCTCCAGTTCCCAAATTCTCCTTTAATTGGTCCCGGAATCTTTCGAAGTATCTTCCGTTCCGCCATTTATAATTTACGTTCTTCCTTCAATGTTAATGTCCACGTTTCACACCCATACATTAAGATTGGCCTAATTACTGTTTTGTAGACACGAACCTTTGTAGTTTTGCTTAGTAACTTAGACACCAACACTTTGTGAAGGGCTGTTGTACATCGTAGTTAACTATGCGAATACTGATTTTATCCTCCCTTTGGTTTATATGTTTTGTGTGTTTCATTCTTAGTTTGTATTAATAATTATAACTAAATGTGTATCGCTCATTCGTTTTATAGGCTAGGTCATAGTATTAAACATCAGTTTAGTGAGCACCGAATTTACGGAAGCCTTGCAACAGCTATTGTAATTGGATTTAAGGTTTAGCCTGTGATCCCTTAGGAGGCAATTCTACCTATCAACATTAACAACTTTTGCTATGCAGACCCCATGGAATTGCGAAACAAGACAGCTGTCCCGTATAGGGAAAGTGCTTTAAATATTGCAGGATGATTTCGTGGAAACATTATTTTGTTTTTAAATGAAAATAATACTGCATTAAAATACGTATAAAACGTTGCCGAATGACCAAATGTGAAAAACTTCCTGTGTTTTTTGTGATGCCGATCGAAAGGGTCGATTATAAGGATTAATTTCTTGTAAATAACATTAATAATTCTTCACAGTAGACATAGGAATGAGACTTCAGTGACTATTTATATTTTTTTCACTTTAAGTCCAAGCAAAACAAAACCACGTTCTTTCTCGTCAAAGACGTTTTTCACTATGTCGGCCGCTCGTCGGCGTTCCGTTGATACCCGTTTTTATTTCTTATTTCGATAAAAGTAATGGTTTTGAAAGTGTTGAATTAATCACTTTGAAAACAATATACGATAAACAATATGTACTTTACTTTAGGTGCGCGCGAATTTGTTTCGTCCCGAGCGCACACGTCATATGGTGCGGATGTGGAAGGGGTCAGCCAGTGTTCGACCGTCTACCCAGAGGCACGTGGTGGTGCGTAGGCGAGCCAAATACCAATACGCTATCACTTGAAGGAGCGCAGAATACAGACAGGGAACATTTTCGGCAGTAACTCAATAACCTAATTCAAGCTCATAATTTACGTTTACCCTTATCGCGTAGTATTATTAACTAGTGTTTTAACAAATTGAACTATCGATTGACACAGTTGGCTATTCAGAAACGTTCTATTGAGTGTTTACACGCAATGAGCTGGAAGTTCTTTAATTAAGGCTGATAAATTAGATGTTAACCGTGTTTTAAACAGGTTATAATATTATAACATAGCACGTAATTTATGTCCCTTTTTAACTGCCGTATTCGGCAAATTTTTAGGCCAACATGGTTTAGGTTTAACCCTTTTTATGTTGAGTTCGTGACAAACTCGTGCTTTCATGTTAACGGTGTTTATTTCGTTTGACATACTATGTTACTTAAAAGGAATGAATACTTATGGTCCTTTCTATCGGCATTATAAAAATACAGGCTGCTTTTTTTACACTTGGTCGGTTCGATTCTTAGATGATGCAGTATAGGGATAGTAATGGCAGAAAAATGACATCAAAGGTAATTTCAACGCGAGCCTACATTTTGGGAGGTGAGGTGTGGGGGACCACCTCTAGTCTCTTTCAATCTGCGCACTGAAAAAAAATATGAATAAAATAAGAACAGGCGGAGTAAATTTGACACAAATGCGACGTCGACAAGCGCCAGATGGTGACTGACGGGCAGCGTTGTCAATGCCAATTGTTCAAAATCCCCAAAAATCACGATTAAAATTCTCAAATTTAGGGAGAGCAAAGTAATTTTTTTTATATTCCCCACAAATTCCTCACATCTCGAGTTTTCGTTTTTTTATTACAAATACATCGCTTTAAAATATAATAAGAATTAAGAAACTCAAAATGTAACCATCTAATACGTTTGCTATGAATGTAAACAGAATGCAAACTCACATCGCCGCGCGTTACTTGAGCGCACTGAGGCGTCAGACGCCGACCACCTGCGCCAGTGTGAGTTGAGCCCAAAATGTTTCCTTAGTTAATCAGGTACTTCACATGTTATTTGAAATTCAAGAATTAAACTTGATATTCAGTTGTATTTATTGAGATTTTTTGTGAAATAACTCCGGCAGTTTTGTTATGATTATGATTACAAAGATCGAGTACACCATTGACCTACCATAGGTCAATGGAGTACACAGGAAAATTTCGTCGACCTGGTGGGACTTGATCCCACGTCCATGCTGCACCGTAGCATTGCTCTGACTATCTGAGCCACGGGTCCAGTTATCGAGTCGTCGAAATTCTTCAATGTGTTTTTGTTATAGATTTTTGTACTGATCACATATTGATAACATCACCACTAGTTTTGGTATGATTATGAATATAAAGATCGAAAAAAATTGTCAACCCGGTGATTTTCAGTAGACTGTAATTACCATCAAAATTTTTATGGGATACATACATAAGTTATTTCCCCCTCAGTCGCACTTATCAGATTTGGACTGTAAATTTCTCGTAACTGCGAAACAAACGCAGTTGTTCCATACCGGAATCGAACCCGGAACCCGTGGCGTGCTGCCAGGTGCTAGAAATAGGCAAAGCATCAAAGGGGTGTTCTCCACAGGGTATAAAACAAGCCAGACAGACGCAAACAGCGCTCTAAATGAATTATTTATAATAACCGATTGCCATAACTTGTACTTCTGTGACTTTGACTTTGTGGGCTCTAGTTTTATGGAAGGACATAAAGAAGGATGACGATGTCCTGCGTATTTTGTAACCCAGTGTTTTTGATGACTTGCACTAAAGAGACCTAACAATACTTGTGACTGATTATCATTGCATCAAAAAAGCTAATTGAGTACACCCTGTAGGAGCTGTGGGGTTATAAAGTTGATATAGGTTATGTTTATAACATTGTTCTGTATTTCGCTTCATAATGTTTGTTCGCAGTAATAGAAAACAACAGGTATTCAATTTGTACCCAAAAATAATAAATAACTTGCTGAATATTCCCAAATCTGCCAAACTCAGTCACATTTTAATACTACCTACCTACTACTACTGTATTTAATATGTTCTGCCGCAATGAAAATAAATAAAAATTAAATCTGCCTAATTGGCAGAAATCTGTGACACTTGGTCACACTGTTCTCAATCTCAAAGTGGCATGGATTCGCTCTGGACCTTTTGGAGGAAAAGTGTCGTCTTTATTCTGACTTTCAATTATTTTGTGAAATCTAGTTTAAAGTGGAATAGGATAGTGCTATTGTGCCTTAATCGAAGATTAAAACGCGAAATTATACGAATCTCGAACTAGAATACCCGTATCGGCCCGTTTTAAGGAATCCCGACTCAATCCAAGCACGCCGCCTCAAATTGCCTATCCTCTTTGTGTGTGTGTTGTGATTTAATAGTTAATATTTTATGTGTGTACAATAAAATAACCAATACTTTAGATTGGTAAACATTCAATCGTGCTTAAAATTGAACGTCCGTACAAGAATTCATTTCCTATTCCCTATTCCCTATTCCCTATTCCCTATTCCCTATTCCCTAT